CCTTCAATTCCACTGACCCAGCCGCCTTGCCGTTTGCGTCCATTTTTCCTGGAAATTGAGTTAACTGAAAACCAATGTCAGAGTGTGTGTCGGAAATGGTCCATCCAGAATGCTTTTGTCCAATGCTTTTACACCATGGTCCATAGACCACCCAAATGTTTGGACATGTTCCATAGAATGTTTGAACATGGTCCATAGACCACCCAAATTGTATTTATCCAAATCCGATAAAAGCATTTTGGTCTATTGGTATGGCCAAAGCCCTCTCCAGCAAAAGCGCGTTTCTTCTTATGTTGACCTGCGTTTTCAGTGCGTTTTCGTGCGTTTCCGAAAGAGCGCGTTTCCTACCCGGCAGCGTTTTTTTCACAACTTAGGTAACAAGTGCCTTACTACTAGTAACAAGAAACTACTAGGGGCTCCTGGCATCGCTACGAGCAAAGGACGCCACGTTCGGGGCTAGCAATGGCCTCCAACCTACTAGCAATGGCCTCCAACCCAGCGATGCGCGGGTGTCTCCGGGTGTCTGGCATCCAAAAACACCATGTCTCCTTAGTGTAGGCGTAAGCACAAAGCTCAGAAGGACACGAGTCTAGCTTCCTGAGAGTCTAGCTGGCGGGAGGAAGCACTTAAATGAGTGAGACAAATTCCTTCAGAATGAACTCCCGAATGAGAACTCCTTGAGAACATGTTCATTCTTTTGGGCCTTTAGTGGGCCTTTAGATGGCCTTTAGGGTTTGGAGATGTGACTTGCCTATAGTTTGATGGCACAAGCTCTCAAGGTGGACGCATTTGATCCAACCTCGCTGCGGTTTGGCAAACCTCAAATCCATCGGATGTGACTAGACACTTAGCTACTAGTAGCTTCTTGTTCCTAGTAGTAATGCGAGGAGCTACTAGTAGCGATGCACTTAGCTGCTAGTAGCTTCTTGTTCCTAGGAAACTTGATTTTAGAATTCACTTCTTGTCCTTTTTTTTTGATTTCTTGTCTTTAGGACCACATGCTGCAATATCCTATCCGTCCTATCCTATGCTGATGCTTGCTTTACCGTCTTGACTCGTCCCTTTTCTCGCCGCAATCCCGAATCCTTCGCACAAAAGTACACAAAGAATCCTGCATCCTCGTTTGGAGGGCTCCTTTGTGCATTGACTCCTTGCACGTTGGACTGCGGCACCAAACGGAGCCAACTCTGATCTATGCCGTGTAGGCCACGACCGCATCCAAAGGTTTCTGCGTACTCGGTAATAACTCCACTTGTAAAAACATGTAAAAACAGTCTTACAAAACACATCTTGAATAGCTTGAATCCTTTAATCTCTGGCTACGTAGCTTCTTTCGATGTTTTCAAGGTGGTGGCGTTGGGCCTAGATTTGGTCCGGCACCCACTTGCTCGTTTCGCTTGTTTTCTGTCGAGCTCAAAGAAAGAATCAATGCGTTGCAAAGGTCAACTGCTCAGAAACGGCAAACATAGGATGAGGATTGCGTCACATACCTCCCGGAAGAAGAGGAGGTCGAAGCATTGTGACTGCTTTAAGTAAAGATCATGTGCAAAGTAGGAAAGAACATGGACGAACACCAAGGATCGCTATTAGCTTGGAGACCATCACTCCTAGGTTGGAGGCCATCGCTCGTCTTAGGTTGGAGGCTATTAGGTTGGAGGCCATCGCTATTTGGACAGAACATGGAAGAACACCAATGGAACATGCAGTATGCTATGCGCCAGCTCTGCTCGTTCAATGTTATACACATCTGATACCAGCCTCACCCAGCGGCAGGGATTGTAAGACTTGTGCCTCTCAGCGATGCGCAAGTACCGGACCTGTCCAAGTGTTCCAAAGGAGCTCAGAGATCTAAAGAAAAAAAGGAAGAAGAAAGGAAGGTCTAAAGAAAAGCACAAACAAAAGACAAACTCCTTCCAAGATTCCTTTCCGACTCCAAAACTGCCACAATGAGCCACAAAACTGCCGCAAGTTTAGCTTGTATATGTGGAAGTTCACAAGGAGGCCATCGCTATTCGGTTGGATACTAAAAGAGATGGCGATTGTGACTTCACAAATACACCGCGGCCTGCAGGTTCGAAACATTGTACATTGGAATCTCATAAGTCAGGGAGACTGGCCCTACCTGAGCGATCGGACGCTACTAGGGGCTCCTGGCCGTACTACTAGTAACAAGAAGCCATTAGGAACAAGTGCATCGCTACTAGTAACAAGAAGCTACTAGTAACAAGTGCATCGCTACTAGTAACAAAGGGCATCACTACTAGCAACAAGAAGCTACTAGGGGCTCCATGCTTCCTGTAGATCCGAAACTTGCAGAGCAAGAGCCGAAACGTCAATCGGAGCCTCTTTCTTGATGTTCTGGATGTTCGAAATCGGTGCGGAAAGTGTGACTCGGCACTTGATAGCTGCCTGTCCAGGACTGGACACAACAGCTGAGTGATAAGCTTCTTGTACATTCTCTTTCTGCAAGAACGTACATTTTGTGTGCCTCTGTTCCGCCCTGAAACTTCTTGATGTTCCAAACCAAACGATGCTCGCTGGCCAAGTACCTGGCAGTGCAAGTTTCAGCGTTAATCGTCCTTCTCCTTTTGTAATTCTGACCTGTGATGCACTACTGAAAACTCTGAACAAATCTAGCTGAATACATCTTTTCTGCTAAAGTTAAGTGAAGGGAATATCCCGTTAGGTAGGTTTCTGCAAATGCCTTTGAAGGATAGATGCTGGAGGCCATCGCTAGTAGGTTGGAGGCCATTGCTATTAGAAACAATTCAAGTCGAAAAAGAAGAAAGGTTTGCCATTAGCTTTGCCTAGGAGCAAGAAGCTACGTTCGGGGCTCGCATCGCGACGAACGGAGCAAAAGGTCTGCTATTAGCTTGGCTATGGCTGGAAGCTTTGAATTCTCAGCGCACTCTGCAGATTGACCAGCAGAGACCGCAAGCTCGGTGGAGACAGATGCAGAGGTCTAGCGAGAGTTCGAACAAGTGTTGCTAAAACGTACATGGACATTCTCAGGTGAGGACTAGTACAGGATAACTTCCAAGAACCTAAGGCCTTTTAGGAACAAAGGGAATAATACAAGAAAAAGGTCTAAACAAAGAAGGACAAAGGATAACAGCGGAAAACATGTCTAAAGGTTGAAAAGAACAACGACAAGAGACAAGGAACCAAACAAGAAATGTCAAAACATCTAAAGAAAACAAAGAAGAACATGTAAAGGAGACAAGAAGAAACAGGTAAGAAAGATCTATTGACAACGAAAGAACAGTAAACCAAACAAACATGAAGGCAACACAAAAAAAGGAAGAAACACTTCCAGAAGAGTCCAACTAGAAGAAAGGAAGAACCACATAGGAACGAGGAAGCTTTATAGGACAAGGAACAACAAGAAACTTTAGAAACAGGGCATCGCTACTAGTAACAAAGGGCATTACTACTAGTAGCAAGAAGCTAGTAGTAACAAGTGCCTTACTAGTAGTAACAAGAAGCTAACGGCAAAGGGCATTACTACTAGTAGCAAGGACGCTACTAGGGGCTCCTGGCCTTACTACTAGGAGCAAGAAGCGTTTAAGATTCTCCCGCAAAACTGGTGGAAACTCGTCAGGGACTGTCCTTAGGCAGCATGCAGTAGATCTGCACGTTGCCCCCGTAGTTCTGCTCAGGGATATCTGCTCGGACCTGTGAAATCAGAGCTCCAACCGCTTGTGCTTCAACCTTCATGGAGCTTTGGCCGCCTTGATGGTAATTTCGATCTTGTACGGAGCTTGTTGCTCGGCAAAGGGAAATATCCTGCAACAAGAAACCATTAGGTTGGAGGCCAACAAGCAAACGTTTAAAAGCCACACAAGTCTCTTCAGAAGCCGTCCTAAAAGGCACACGAAAATCACCAGTGATACGGTAGTTCATGACCTCGCGCACTAGGAACAAAGGGCTTCGCTACTAGGATCAAGAAGCTACTAGGGGCTCCTCGCCTTACTACTAGGAGCAAGGACGCTACTAGTAGCTCCTGGCCGTACTAGGAACAAGACGCTACTAGTTGCTCAAAGTTGTTCAACACAAAAACCGCACGGTTGTTGACTTCGCTTCAACCATCCTGCCAGTATCTCAGGTGGCTAAGGTGCAGGCTGCAAACTCACCATCGGGTGGATAGAAGGACAAGGTTCTGAGATCCGAGAAGTCCTGAAGACATGCTGGAGGCCATCGCTACTAGGACCAAGGACACCACTAGGGGCTCCTGGCCTTACTAGGAACAAGAGGCTGCTGGTAATAAGGACGCTATTAGCTGGAGGCCATCGCTAGTAGCAAACGAACACCGCGGATTTCTGCTTCGTGAACACACCTGGAGGTCGACGCACTCGTGAAAATTGCAGTCGTCCAAGATCACAGATCCGTAACCTGCCAAGGCCACACAGAAAACACCAGCACCAAGAATGCTACTAGGAGCAAAGGGCATCGCTACTAGGAACAAGTGCCTTACTAGTAGTAACAAGTTACGAATTTAATTCGAATTAATAGCTTCTTGTTACTACTAGTAAGGCACTTGTAATTACCAGCGAGGCACTTGTAATTACTAGCAAATTGTCCGCGCACGCGCGGGGGGGGGGGGTAGGAAGCTACTAGGAGCAAAGGGCATCGCTACTAGGAACAAGAAGCTACAAGGGGCTCCTGGCATCGCTACAATCCAGAATTCAGATCTTTTTAAAAGCCCGCTCCACTCCCTCCCTATCTAATTAAGTAGGCGCCTCCTTAATTCAGGCGACTAGTTCGCTACTGGCTACTTAAGCCACTAGACATGGACGCAGGATAGCGCTCGCACTAATGATTTGGTTCCTAGATTTTGGGGACACTTCAAATCAAAGTGGCTAGACCATTGGGTGTAGACCATTGGGTGAGCCAACAAGCAGCAAAGTAGGTTAAGCTGCTAGCTTAAGTACTTACTACATCTTACTATCTAAATCTAGGACGCAGTTTCCCTGAAGAAGCCTGACCCCGCCAATGATTTGGTTCCTGGATTTGGGAAACTTAACTCCCCAGGCGGAGAAGTAATAGGTGAGCTGAAGCTACAAGCGGAACTACCTTCAATGAACCTAAAGCTTATTTTCCTTAAACACACATATAGGAACCAAGTCATTGGTGCGTGAGCTATCCTGCGTCCAGTTACTAGGATCTTCCTAGTAGCTAGTAGCTTACTTCTGGCTTGCTTAATTAAGTAGGCGCCTACTTTAGGACCTTTGTCCGCCTCTTTATTTTATCTCTCGGTGAGGGTTATTGGCCCCTATGGAAACTATTTCTAGATATGCAAGAACTATTTATTAGCAGCTGGAAACTAATTCCAAAGCCTGCTAGGACTATTACATTGTTCTTTCAAGGCCTGAAGATGCATAGAAGAAACTATTTCTACATTATTGAAATTCCTATAGAAACTATTTCTAAACACATGACTCCCCCAAAGAAACTATTTCTAAATGATTGAAAGTCTCAGAGAAACTATTTCTAAAACATGACACCCCTAGAGAAACTATTTCTAAAATTGTTGTGAGTCTACATAATGATATGACTAATTCTTGAACACCCTAAGGAGACCATATCACATCCTGTGAGACTATAACCAAGTTGGTCCACCCATCCAAACATCCAGCAAATACTCCCTCAGAGGCCTTCTCGAACCCTAGAAAACTCTGTCAGTGTAGCTTCAGATGATTCTAGCCAGGCAAAGGGTCACTTGCTATCACAATGCGCCAGGCACAACCACACACCAAACTAACACGCTGGGCTTGCAGCCCTTCCACCACACAAAAACACAGTCAGACTGACTGAGCCCTTTGGATCCCATGGCCCACTGAAAGCACAACTGCTGCTACTGCTACTGCTACTCCTCCTCCTCCTGCTACTACTACTACTACCACTACTACTACTACTAGTACTACTGCTCCTACTGCTAGTGCTAGTGCTAGTACTAGTACTATGACGGACTACGACTGACTGCGGCGCCCTGAACGGTGTGCGAGGCGAGTACATCGCCTTGGACCCAGTTCTTCGCCAAGTTTCCCAACTTGATTTGTGCGGATTTGCAATCTGGAAGGATGATGAAGGAGGATGAGGATTTTAGGAGGTAGGAAACATGGGCAGCACGCATTCCCTCCGGCAGCGCACGCGACAAAGGGCGCACGCTACACATTTAACCACCTGGCGACCACTACTCACCAATCCTCAGAATCTAGGAATCTAGGACTTAACCTGTCAACCTAATTGGGCAGTGGCCTCTCACACTATTGTGCTGGAGCCCCTATCCAAACACCACTTACATCTAAGGTCCCCACACTGAAGAACACCCTGAGCGACCCTAAGGAAGTGTAATTGTAATGTAACTCGTGAACTTAACGGTATAACTCTGAACAACCAAAGCTAAACTGGCAGCCTAGCCTGGAAGCAAGCGAAAGCGTGGGGCCTGGAAGCAAGCGAAACCCCGAGCCCGAACCCTGACCCAAACCAAAAAGGACCCTAAAGAAGTCTAGCCCTGAGCCAAACCAAAAGACCCGATAGGAGTGACACCCCAAACCAAGACCACAGGCCACATCCATCCAAGATAGTTTTCATGTAGCCAAACCAACTTGGTTTGATCTAACCACGCTTGATTCTCATCACCTCTAGCCACTATCATATGTATTGGCATTGGACCTAGTTACTCGGAGTTGTTCGTTCGATCGTCGATAATAATCATCAATTATCTTATACCTGCAGAAACTACATAATGTTGGTTGTCCTGGGCCTGTGCACCACCAGTGGTTTAGCCGGTGGACCTGGTCAGTTTCGGGATGACGCTGCTTCACGCTGCAAAGCCTAAGCCGCCATCTTTTTGCTTGAAGGCATTGAAGGCTGTAGGCCCGTGGGGTGATAGATGCTGAGAAGGGCTGGGGCCATGGACTTTGACCTCGCAGATGGCTCCGATATCATCTCTTTGGACAGTGATTGGCAAATTCCACACCGGGAAGGCCAACCAATGCCACTCAACTGAACTTGTTTTGCAGGGCTCCCTTTTGAAACAAGGGCATGACAAGGTTCCATGCCTCTCCAAAACAACGGACTATGGACCAGGACCCTAGACCTCGTGAATGATGGATGCAAATTGTTTGAACCCAGAAGTGGATCTGATTATATAGTTGAATCAAATCATACTTTTCAGATAACTAGTCCAATGCAGTGCTACATGAAGGATTGCATGCGCAAAGATTTACCCCCCATGGCCTGTGGCCTACAGTCAAGAGTCATAGGATTTGCTTGCGCGCACAAAGGTTTGCCCCACAGTCATAGGATGGCTGCAAAAAGTCAGATACAAATGAAACAAAACAGACGCAGCAGCAGCAGGTTTCTGAGGTTCCCTTAGTTTCTACAATTCTCTTGCTCAAAGGTCTGTGGAGATTGGCAAGCCGGCTTACTTCGACTGGGCAAAACATACCTTGGAGCGCCTTCAGATAGACCAGGGGGTGGTGGAGACCGCATTCAGGTCCAAACAAGTGCCACAGTCTCTAGGTAGTGATGGGGCAATTTGTTTTGTATTTTGTTGTTTGATCCATGCCATACTGTTCAGGTAAGTGGCCCGATGTTGAGATTGCCTGACCATGCTGCCCGTGTTGCTTTCATTTTGTTCCAGCTCCACTGACTTCTGAGCACCTTCACTCCTGCAATCTGAGGCTGGTCCTCGTGGAGGATTGCGCTGGCGCTGCTACAGGCACCTACGCTATGCAACCTGCCTGCATTAGCCCTGCACCATGCCATACAATCCCACAAAGGAAGATCAGTTGACAGATGACAAATGCCATAGGAAAACGGGAAAACTTCAAGGCACAATGTGGCATGGAAGTTCGTGACATCTATTGAGTCATCTAGTAGTCTGTCTAGTCCAGTCTAGTTTGTTACTATATTATATTCACAAAGCCTGGGGCCTTGTGTGATTGAACACAATTCTACGCGCTGCTTAGGACAGAATTGCAAAGGGCCACCAACGGGCACCTTGAGTTCAGAACTTTGGCAGCTTCAGACGCTTCCTGGTCCAAGAGGAGTTTCATCCTTGCCCATTTCGAACACCAGAGCGACTTGGCATTCTGGTGTTGGAACGGACATGTTTTTTGCAAGTGGTCATTTGGCTTAGCAACCGTGACATCTGTTCATTTTGTTTTATCATTTTTGTGTTGGTTTGTCAGTTGGTTGGCTCAGTAAGACTTTTTGAGCATGGAATGGAAGCCTTTTGGACATGGAGGATTGAGCCTTAAGTCCTTAAGTAGCTGACTGGCTGGCCGAATAATATCTCGATTGGCCAGGATAGGGATGGTTATGGTGCTCGGATTTCCTATTTATGTCATAGTACAGACCACATAATACTATACTATACTGATACTGAAGTTGTTGAACTATATAAATATATAAATAATAGGTCGATGAGAAGGGATATCCTGACAAACAGTTTATGATGTACTTTATTGTCAGCCAATCCCTGCACCATCTAAGTCGACCACTTGTTCACTGACATGAACCACTGCCTGACAAGTGGACCCTGTGATCGCTGCGTCAGCACGGATTGCAGTATTGCGGAGGGACACGAAGCCACTGGACTGACTTTATTTGCAAGAGGATGTATGACAGATTCTGGACTCTAAGATTTTGGAAGAAATTGGACAGTTGGCACTGCACAGGGACAGATGGAGGGTCAAGTGATTTTAAGCCAATTTTTGCTGAAAGATGGAACACACAATAGGCTGCATGTGACTGTGCAACAAGAGATGGTGATTTCCCACCAACAAAGATAGGGCAAAGCAAAGTCATTGTGAGTCTTGAGACCGGGTTGTCAGGGGGAAGGCTGAAGCAAAGTTGCAGGAGTCATGCTCACTCAGGATCTATATCTTTGGGGGCCTCCATGTCAACCTTATACTCAGCTTCGCCATCGATCCGATACATTCAACCCAATGGAGATGCCAGAAAGCCGTCCTTTCAAGTTTGGAATCGAGCACATCCGCATCTTGTCTTTGTTGCACTAACTTGGGCTTGCAGAGTGGGAAGGATCTCCGAACACATGTGACCAGCTTCTCATATGTTTCTCTTCTGGTTCTTTTTGCCAGAGTTTTTCAGGTGGCTGGTATTTGCATTCAGTGAGCCTAGGCGTAGGGTTGACCACAACCCGTAGATGTTGCATGCGATGAACTAGGTTGAAGGAAGCAAAAGAGAGTAACAAAGAGAGAGGGAGAGAGTGAGAGAGACATAGAGACAACCAGAAGGAGAAACACAAACAAAGTGGAGAAATAAGCAAAAGAGAGATGGGGAGAGAGATAGTTTTTTCGGGTTGAGAGGAGAGGAGTCAGAGAAAACCATTGATTGTGATCAATCAAATCATATCAATAATC